TTCTGTTTCCGAATCCATTTCTATTAATGCATTATATAGTCTCTTTATATGCATTGGACTTTGACCTCTAATTTGTTTTAGTAAATTATCTACCGTGTTATTAATGTCCCAAAGATGCTTTTTTCAAGAGACAGTTGGAGTTTCTGGTTTTCGCTTGAAGACGTTTTGCTTCTAACGGATGAGAAATGAAACATCTTCAAAGGAAAACCAGAAAGTCCAGTTGTTTCTTGAGGGGGGGGGGAAGCACCTTTGGGACAACCGTGGCCTGGATGACTGAGAATCTCCATAGACAACCCATGTTCTTGTTTGTTGGTAATGCAAAATATAACCCAAGTGCGTTTTGGGGCTCCGTGGAAATAGAGGCAAGAGTCATTTGGGTTCTTGACCAATAAGCACGCAAAGAAATGAACAGCGGAACTTAAGACTGCTAAAATTTAGTTTCCTATTGTGTCTCCTCGCTTATTTCTTGAAATTAATTTATGTACCGCTATACGAAAGCTGCAGAAACCTCCGCTGGTTGGACCAATTCCACGCAACTTTTAGAAACTGCATTTGGTTTTGCAGGAAATAAGAACTTGGGTAGATGTAAGTAGCACATACAGTGTATTTTGAATAATTTGCAAGGATTACAATGCACTGCAGTTGTTAAACTCCCCAGCGAGATCCAACGCTTATAAGATCTTAGGCAGCTTCCCTATTGCGCTATTTTGATCTGTTTTTTTATACATGACTTATTCTGCTGACAATTTTTAGACACAAGTGGTGAAATCTCCTGTCCCAGGCCCTCATCCAACTGTCAAGTCTTCGTTAACCACATACCGGTAGCAACTGAAGCCTGTCTTACTGCTAGCAAGCGATTCTCTGTGGTAGGAGAAGCAGTCAGGAAAATAAAATTGTTTTCTTCGTCCCATGTTAGAATCATAATTCTCAGAAAGTGCCTGGGCCAGTCCCCTGAAAAACTGGCAAAGTTTTTCATAAATAGTTTTCCTTTGCTTCCTTCCTAGGACTGAGATAGTGACTGGCACACAGTCACCCATCTGGCTTTGTGCCCAAGGCAGGGCTTGAACTCATGGTAGCTTGCTGTCTTAACCTGGGTGTTGGCAACCCGCGGCCCATGAGCTGCATGCGACTCTTTCGTCCCCCACTGTGGATCCCTGTCATCTGAACCCACCACAAGCTGGCCCCGCCCCTCACTCTCCCCACCCAGTCACTCCTCACCTGACCTGAGAAGGTAAGGGTGACGGCGGGGCAGTGGTGGGTTTCAAAAATTGTTCAAACCTACTCTGTGGGTGTGGCATCCTTTGTGGGATTGGCTTGCCACCCATGTGACCAGATAGGAGTGGCTTGCCGCCCATGTGACCGG